GGTCGTTGAATTTGTCAAAAGAACTTCAACGCTGTACCTAAAACAGACTCGAAAAATTCGTGAAAATCAGATGCACAAAGAAATTAAACGAGACTTAAGAGAATGTTCAACGATCCAGCGACGACAAAAATAGTAGACACGGTTCGTATACAGTTCTGACCCTGTGAATACCAGAAAACTGTACAATGGAGGTGTGAACAAAAGCTGGCGACACAAATCAAATACATAAATCGGTGGAACCGGGGCGAGACTTCAATAGCGAACGTCGGAATCGCCGCGAAAGCAACTTTCAATCGAAAGCGGTTCAAACAAAAGCGCCCTTCTGTCACCGCTCGAGCACACACACGCGCACAATCGAGCATTCGGGTTTATTACACCGGCTTTGGCTCGCAGGAACCGAGAAACAAATAGGAACGAACGAAACGAAAGAAGAGAAAAAGGGGGACAACGTCGATTAACATTTAAATCATTCAATTAAGAACGCACACGCGGCGGTGTCCCGCGTTTCCATATTTATTGGCTAATTAACGGCGCGCTTATTGGTAATTTCCAGGGTGCTCTCTCTGAGTAGGAGCGCGGCGAATTAAACGGCGGGGCTAACGAGCATAACCGCCTTGTGCCGATTCCCCTAGGCCTGTTGCAATCGAGTTTTCGAAACGATTTCCTCGATCGCGATTCGCGACACGCGTCCACTCTCCACCGGATATACCGCGTCGCAATCATCGTTCCGCGCGCTGATATCGAGGATTACACGGTGGAACTGCTTCGAGCGCGCTCGTCCAAACGAGATCGCTATCTCCGAGACGTTAACACACGTTCGCTGCCACTGGAAAATCGATAGCACCCTTGGGCAATGCACTTTGGGCCGCATATGCTGCGTCGGTGGCAGCGACCGTGTTGAAATAGAAAAATTGTTTTTCGCGCAATTAATTTTGACTTGCAAGGAATACACCTGACTTGTAAATTTTTGCGAAATATCGCGTTTCTTTTTATTCGTAAGTTGAACCGTAATCGACAAATTTGCAGAAGGCAATTATACCTGAAAATTCGTTGTGAAAGTGATTCAAAGGTTGGCGAGAAATTGATACAGGGTATTCAACGAATAAAAAAATTTCATACGAACCCACGTTTAGAAATAATTTATTAAAGAATTATAAGCAACAATAGAATATTTATTAAAAGAGGTATTGTTGCAAAAGGAGGAACTTTTTAACAATTTTTGTAACTTAAAGCTTAACAAAATCAACCACAGAAAACTACAAAACTAACGAGAAGCAACGAATAACTTTTCTTAATAAACGACAATTCTTTTCACCTCCGAAATACCTTTCGAAACACCCCGTACATCTCCATCGTCGGGAAAGAAAAACACGAGGCACTTTCACGACCGAACGCCACGGAGTTTCGCTCGAAAACTCCGCAAATCGAACACGGTTCAGGCTCGCGTGAATTTTTTCGGGCGTGAATTCTGGGAACCGGTGGCCGTGATTTCACGCGCGTCCCATTAAAAACGCCCGTAAACGCCTCGTTTTTATTCTCGACACGATCGCGGGCGCCTCCTCTTCTGCGCGCGTAAATTGGGTTACGAGAACACTCTGACCGCCTGGCGGCCATCGACGATCGCGGTTTCCGGTGCTCGACACCGGTTCGTACTTCGACGGAACACCGTCGACCTTCCGGATCGGCCCTATCGCCAGCGTACAATCGTATAAAATGTAGGTTTCCGAATGGTGGAAGGGAAGCGCAATTAGCGGTTTCTTGTTCTCTTTCACTCGAAGAATCCTGGAGAAATTGGCGCTCGCGGAAAGCGAGAGCAGCCTGTTGCGAGGGGAGACGTGTAGTTCGGTCGGTGTGCAAAAAGTGTTCGCTGGAAGATCGTGGAAAGAAGCGGACGCTTAATTTCTGTTTTATGCGCGAGTGATTAGGCAAATTTCATTTGGCATGAAAATCTTGTAGCAAGTGTAACTTAAGCTTGAATTCCTTCCGACCGATTTTTTCGAATTATCGAAGCTCGGGGAAGACACTTTATCGATTTAAATACAGGGAGAGAATAACCCTTTCGTGTGCAATGAAGAGAATTATCAGTTCAAAACGTGGATGATGTGTAATCATCTTCCTTTAACACATTACTGACGGTGTCTCTACTGAAATGGATCGAAACTGGAAAATGATAAATTGCCAAGTTTGATATGTGCAGTTTCTAAAAACTTATTTTTGACACTTCGTTCGAATACAAATTAGCGTATCTCGTGACCAGCAGTTGGAAATTGAACGACGACAATTCGTTAATACTTGAGATACAACAGACGCTAATTGTCTAACTCGCGTCGTCAATGTGTCGCTGCTACCGTCGAAGCATTGTCGACACACAACGACTAATGTGCCGACAGTGTACCAGTCAGTCACCAGGTCGACACAAAAAGATGATACCACCTCTGTGAGATGGTCAACTGTCTCCACGAAAATTCTCGTGAAAATCACATGTCTGGCTGAAAGTACGAATCGATGGCGCACGGTACGTTGCACACTCACGATTTTCAGAGTGAATGTGCTGAAGATATTCGAACGCAAGGACTCCCGTCACCGACAAGTTGTCAGCGACACGTTCCATCGATGGAATCGATCGCACTTTGTCGCAAGCGCGCCACAGCGAAAGGGTTAAGCAGATGCATCTGGACCAAGAGGGGTGGCTGTCGCGGTGAGCGTCGAAGGCTCGACGAGGTCCTATTTTCAACCACTCTCGAACCGGTCCACTCCACCGGTACCTTTATCGTCGAATTAATTTACGATCATTTCGATTGATACGCTCTTTAACTGGACGTCTCGCAATTAACCGGACGCTCCAAATAATCGGGTTCGCGGCGGCGCGGCGCTCACCATCGGTCGCTTAATAATAAATCGGCGATACGTTCCAGTTCCGTTCCGACCGACCCAAATAAACGGTTTTCTCGATCGTCGTTGACAATTATGACAGGGCACCGTGTGTGAGCATCGAGGGAGAGAGAGAGAGAGATCGATAGGGGTCATTGGGCCGAAAGAGCGAAGAAGAAACGCGCAACGCTGTTTGGATAATGATCGAACAACCTGCAACGACCGCTCGAAACGCGGATAATTGAAGTGGGTGCCACATGATTAATTAACGCGTTGCTCGCTGCGTGTCCGGGATTTATATCTCTCTTGCTCGTCCCAAAGATAGCCCTCTCTCGCCCGGATTAATTGAGCGACAACCGCTCGCCGGTGGCGTTTCATCGCGGTGAAAGTCGAGCATCGTGATAATCCGAAAATTCAAGGGCACCAGAAACACGTGTTGCAGTTTGGGAACGTATCGAGTGATTTTTAGGGTTGGCAAAGTTGGAGATTGTATTAGAGACTGTGAGATAGGTGTTAGGAAATAGCTACCGCCTACAGACTCTCGACGAATTTGGCTGCATCGCGCGTAGAGTTGAAGATTTAAGGTAATAGAAGCAGTAGATGTTATAGGACAAGGACGAGTTCTAGTTAGAAGAAGTTTCAAGGAGACGAATTCATTCTCTATTTTCCAAACTTTCAAGTTAATTCTGGGTTTATCGAAGGTAAGTATCAACGAGTACCATAATTGGATAGAACTCCGCCCACGCCAAGGTTCGCCGATAAACGGCGACAAGTCGACCGGAATAGATCATTCCTCGGTTAATTGCGATTCAAGGTTTCAGGTAGTTTTACGATCGTTTATCGAGAAAATGGGAAACGCAGAAAGCGGAGGTCACGTTGTCGCTGTGGCCCCGTTATCAGCGAACGGAAAGCATCGTCGTTGGACACGGGCTTGCACGATCGATTGATAAGAACAGACACTGGTAACCACTCAGCGTCGTCCCGCTAGCTAATCGACTCCTCGCGAGTACGTTTCTAATTGCGAAAGTTTCTGCGCGAGACGCTTTCGCGTACCACGAATTAATGGCCACGATTCGATCTGGCCGTTGCAGACGGCAAATGAGATTCCAGTCGTTCGAAACGGTCGCCTCGAGTCACGGCAGAAAAGTAATCGCACGCCGATATCGGCGAAGCACGTTCACCGGAGCGTTTGAATATCCCGCGCTGCGGTACAGTCGGTATTGCAGAGAGCTGCTTGGAGCGAGCGCCGCGAGGCGGCACCACTGCACTACGAATCGACTTACCGATCATCGAAGATTCGAAAATCTATGGAGCGATTTTTTTTGATCGAGATTGATTTTTTATTTCGATTATTTCTTTGGATTTGAAGTTTGCGGAAGATTGGACGTAAGTTTAGTTTCCGAGGAGTTACATTACCGACGGAATATCGTACGCGTCGGTAAAATAGAACCGATCTATAGATCATTGTGAAACTTTTTATCGATATCTACATCTTCGTCGAGCTGTATAATTGCAAAGGCACGTTATTACGCGTTTCACGGGTAATAACGCAAATCTTCTCCGGGTGTTTTGAAATTGGAGCACGTTCTCGATCGTTAAAAATCTCATTCGCCAAAGAGCGTATACGCAACGTTCAAACGCACATCCATACCGTTCCTCGCGCCTCTTCTATTCAAGCGAAATCCGAAAGTCATCGTTCTCCACGTTCGATTGTCAAATCAGGCTAAATGAAATATCCCTATCTCTGATCGAATCCAATCTATCAACTGGCAAACAACCGTATTACACCTTCCGTCCAAGGCAACAGACTCTAATATCGTTCTCTTTCTTTCTTCTTCTTCTTCCGTCGAAAGGAACACGTGCGTGTATTTTCTCCGATTGATTCGAGGGAAGTCTCTGCGATACTTTGACGTTTGCAGCCGACCACAAAGGAGCCTTTTATTATCCTTCGGTCGTTCCGACAGACTCTCGACGGAATTTCATCCGTATCGAAGCGTGGCGAAAGGATCGATGAGACGTGAAAAAAGTGAAATCTCGGGGCATATATGGGCCGGGTCCCTCGGCTGCTTTCGATCCCATTATTCAGATCGATCGGTGTACCGAACACCGTGCACTCTAGCGTTACTCACCATCGACGTGAAATAGAACTTCTCGAAGTCCCTCTCGTGAAGTCGCGCCGCTGTCAGGTTGGTGGCTGAGTGCTGTCCGTGTTTCGTGAGCACGTCCTCGCCCTTTTTGCACAACCACGACAACACCTGCGGAACAAAGTAGAATTATCGTTAATCGTCGACGGTAAGGTCTCCTATCGGCGAGATTAAATCACGATTCAATCCCTGTCGAATTGTTTTCGCGGTGCGAAATTTCATCAGATCGGGGCACAGCTTAAAGCCTCGATTAATAATTCAGACAATAAATAATAATTCCATCCTGTGAAAGCCTGAAATATCCCACCCTCTTTTACACGTCCGAAAAATTCACCGTAATTCCTGCCACTTTCTCGACTGCTATTCCCATACGAACAACTTTCCTGATGACAGTGAATAGAAGCTCAGATAAGAGCGTTACGATTTTCAAGCGGCAAAAAATCCTCCGTTCGAAATTGAAATTCACCGCGTTTGAACGTGGGCTACATACTTCAGCGTTGAAGTTTCGCTGCATCGAGGCAATTCTAGGGAACGTAGCGTAAGGATTTAACGCGACAGGACAGTGAGTAATTAGCGTCTGCCCGGTTTCGTTAAATAATTAAGAACGATCGTGGCCGTTCCATGCTCGACGGCGGAGGTCTGGTTATTTATGAACGTCATAGTAAAACCTCGAGTGAAACGTTCCAACACACGACACCGCTGGCCCGTTTTAACGCGGGCTCCCGCGCGTTCTCGTAATAAATACACCTCCGGTGTATCAAATTCGAGTAATTTATTAGCGGGACGGGGAGAAAGGACGATTCCTACGTTTTATCCTGCTTTCCTCTTATTCTACGCGCAACCGATTTATACTAATCGGGGATAGGTATTTTACGTAACCGATGGTGGTTGAAAAGACAGCGATAGTCGGTGTTTTGCCGGGTTCTCGTTCGTTTTCCAATTTGTCAAAATCAACGACGCAGTCCAGTTGCGTAATTTCGCGTTGGCGTTTCGACGGCGGGGACAAATGTCGTGGGATGAGGATGACCTAACGCGAGTTTTCGTCATTTCGGGGGGAAATTAGGTGGAAACTTTTGAAATTCAGGTGCTTTACGTTTTATTTATCATTCGATGGTAATTTGTTGCACAAGTTTACTATTGGATGTTGCAGATTCACTCTTGAGACATTTCTTATTGCATAATTAATCTTTTTCCAGGAAGAGATTAATTTGTTACGAGCCTCTTTTCGACGTCGTGTAAAAGGCAGGATTTAAGTAACCTCGTGATGGTATCATTTATGAAACATGATCAGTTTAACCTTTATAGTAATGAAATAAGTGTAGAATATTCTGCAATAATCGTACCTTTAGAAAAACGCCAGTTTACATCAAGTACCTGATTTTTTAAAAGACTTTCAATTCACAAAACAGGGCATAATTTCTTATTCGCTTATTCTTTTCATATTTTCACCATTAGATATTGTTTTTATTCGTCGATGAGAAAGAGATCCACGAGCGACGATTTGCAAGAGCAATACAATACAATCAACTCTCCCTTCCATAAACGAAATTTCCAAAGTATGAACATATTGTAGACTTCCGTACAGATAAACCTAATTTCCTCTCTCTAACATCTGATCAACGTAGCAGCTGAACCGTCGAACATCTGGCTACCTCCAGCTTCCCCTAAACTCCCATCAAACCCTGTAATTACCTCTCCCCAACGAAGAAAGAACTAAAAAAACCCACTCGAAATGATGAACCTTTAACATCCCGTACCCAGGTTCCTTCTAGCCAACACAAAAGGATCTCTGGATAATTTTCCAGGCTGAAAAAATCAGGTCTGTGCAATGTTAAATCGGTTCACCTGTCGAGCACGCGTCACCTCTCTGTGTCGAGGTTATCCGCGAGGCTCTTTTAGCCGATAATTAGATCGCTGGTACGGGCGTGTCACGCGTGATTAATGATTCGTCGCTGCGGTCGGACGTGGCGGCGAGCGAAAAGTACGCGAGAATAATTAACGGGAGCAGCCGGAAGAGAGAATGTGCCGATCGAGTAGAAAGAAGGAACGTCTGCGTCTCGGACGTCGTCGACAACGACGTTGACGAAACTTGAATCAAGGGAGACCAGTTTTAAGGAAGGGAGAGAGGGGAGAGACGGCGACGACGATCGTGGGTAAAGTCGCGTTTTTCGGGTCACTGGGCCGCGTTAGGTGAACGACGAGATCAGACAGAGGCGTGGACTCCGCCAGCGGGATTAATTCGCCGCGATTTGGCCGGCCGTTTGAAAAAGTATGCCGGTAATTGCGACCGGCCCGGTCGGCTGCTGGAAGATACTTACCAAGAGATGGATGATGAAGAGGAGAGAGGCGTGGATTGAGGGAGTTGAAAGTAACGAGCGTGAACGTTAACGACTACTGGACCTTGGAATGCTTCGGGGTTCACGAATTTGTGAATGGAATTGTAGATATTGATGGTGGAATTTGGAGTTGCGGGAGCTTGATGGATTCACTGGACGGTGCAGAATATGGAAGTTACATGTGGGAAGCAGTAGCTTATCGATTTACTGTTCTATAGCCTGTTTCGATATAATTGTCACTTTACAGTTCTATAGCCTGTCTCGAAACAATTGTCAGTCTACAGTTCTATAGCCTGTCTCGAAACAATTGTCAGTCTACAGTACTATAGCCTGTTTCGAAATAATTGTCAGCCTATAGTTCTATAGTCTGTCTCGAAACAATTGTCAGTCTACAGTTCTATAGCCTATCTCGAAACAATTGTCAGCCTATAGTTCTATAGTCTGTCTGAATATAATTGTCAGTTTACAGTTCTATAGCCTATCTCAAAACAATTGTCAGTCTACAGTTCTATAGCCTGTTTCGATATAATTTTCAGTTTACAGTTCTATAGTCTGTTTGAATATAATTGTCAGATTACAGTTCTATAGCCTATCTCAAAACAGCTGTCAGTCTACAGTTCTATATCTCAAAACAATTGTCAGTCTACAGTTCTATAGCCTGTTTCAATATAATTTTCAGTTTACAGTTCTATAGTCTGTTTGAATATAATTGTCAGTTTACAGTTCTATAGCCTATCTCAAAACAACTGTCAGTCTACAGTTCTATAGCCTGTTTCAAAACAATTGTCAGCCTACAGTTCTACAGCCTGTCTCAAAACAATTGTCAGCCTACAGTTCTATAGCCTGTTTCAGCATAATTTTCAGTTTACAGTTCTATAGTCTGTTTAAAAATAATCGCCTATCACTGCAGTTTGCGCCTATAGGTGCTTTAAAACTTTGCTCACGCTGTACTGTTCGCACCTTTTGACGCACTTCCACGTTAGTTGAATTCTCAATTTTATCCTTTATACATTTTCACTTCAATTTGATCAAACAAATTTTGAAACTACACAGCCCGAACAAAACGTTTGCAACCGTGGTTCACAAATTGAGCTACTACTACACACAACATTAGTTAAACAGCTTCTCCGCTCGATATTTCACATTTCCGAAATAAATAACACAAGCCACCAACCACCTCCAAACACCGTATCAATCCTCGAACCTCAATCCACCCATAAACCGCCGCTCGAACTACGCATTGTACCTACTCACGACTCCATTCACTTCATTCACAAGCGGCGAAGCTAACCTTCAACTTCCAACCGATTTTTCCAACACAATAGCCGCGCAGCCAGCCGGTGAACGCAAGCTCGTAGAAAACCAGCACCGCACTCCAACGTCCCGTTAAGGGATACGTACACGGGGAAACCTCTTTGGATCATAAACGCGGTACGGGTTATATGCGGGTCACTGGGCCGCGAGCCACGATCGAATGGCATCGGAGGACGCGTGTGTACACGCGACGTGGTGCGTTTTATCGCGCGCGAAAACCGTGTAAACACACTCTTAACAGGCGCAGGTATTTAGGTTCGGCTGGTGGCGCGAGCCGCTTCCGCCTGCGGTGAGTCTTCTCACGAGAGTGGACGATGTTATCGCTAGCCGGGGAATGCCCGATAACGCGCCACCTCGAATTAATATGGACACCTTCTTGCACGCTGCCGGCCTCCACGACCATGCGAAATCACGGGGTCGTGATCTGCCGGGGACTCGCGCGCGTCGCCAGTTCACTTTGATCGCGTGGGTGTCGGGTTTGAGAGGAGATACGGCGAGGAGCGTGTGAAATTTCTGGTTTCGACGGTGAACCAGGTGAAGAGTGGACGAGGTTCGTTGAAGATGGAAATTTGGGACGGTGATTGCGCGGGTAATCGACGCGTGTAATTCTATTAGCGAACGTGGGACCTTTGGGTTGTTTTTTAGTGAATGTAGGAGAAGGTGACACCTCTGTTCGTCCTTTTCGCGTTTTTGGAGAAATATAGTATTGGGTAAGTTTTAGAATCGTTGTACATTAAAAGTTACATAAAAATTGACAGATAAGAGTTAGCAATTTCAAGAATTTTTTATTATTTAAATCAATCGAAGTAAGGTAAATTGCTATTGGCCTCCTCGATATTTCTTATCCCTCAAATCAATCGAACTAAGGTAAATTGATATTCATCTTCTCGATATCAATTTTAGATCTATAAAGAATTAGTAGCAGATTCAAAATTGGTAAAAATTGGCGGGTAATTACAAAGTTTATAACCGTTTAATTAATTCAAAATTTGCATATTTCTGCAATAACTTTACGAACAAATAAATTTCCATGCGTCATTACAAAAAAAAAAAAAAAAAGGAAAAAGTATAAATATTCAGCACAATCTCGCAATGCAAGAAAATACCACATTTTTTACGCATTGTGCTCGATTACTATGGCAAACACGAAACTTGAGCGCAAACCGGGAAAAAATGCAGCGTACAGCGAAGTTACTGTACTTAATTACCAATTGTGGTCCACCGAAACAATTTCAAAGATCGCGAAAATAATCCAGGAGAAATTGCACCGGTACTTAACACACAAAAATCCATCGTTGAAAACCACTTACACAAACCTGATTACATAAGTCGTTACGGCATTTGGTTACCGCACAAGTTGAAAATACGAGAAAATCTTTCAAGCCCGACCGAGCACGTATTTCTGTAGCTCTCGGGAGGAAGAGAGCAAGGAAAAAACAAAGTGGACGAAGAGTAAGTATT